TTTCTTGAATCTTAACATAATCATGAAGCTTTCACAATAAAAATCAAAATCAGAGCTCAAATCTAAATAATAAAGAGCAATATCAATGGATAAAGGAAGCTCATAAAACCAAGCAAAAGCAATTAGGATAAAGCTCATGGTGATGACGAATTTAATTTGTATAAAGGAATATGTAAATGGCGAACGAATTGTTAGATTCAGGATAAAATTTATATAAAGGCGCAAACCTGGGACTGCAATAGAGGATGCAGAAAAAAAAAATTTCTGGCGACTATGAGGGTGCTTCGGTGCAGAGAGGGAAGCGAGCAGAGCTTCGATCGTTTGGGGGAGTCGAGCAAGGCCTCTGGGGCTCCGATCGATGGAGGAAGAGATGCGCATGAATTTTGATCGGGAGAAAGAGACGAACAACTTGGTCTGTTCGGTGGCAGGAAACGTCTGAGAGCGTCAAATTCGAAATCGAGCACGCAGGGAAGAAGCGAGCAGGCGAAGGTGTCGAGCGGTGTCTGCGGCTTCTTCGGTGTGGGAGACGGGATCGAGCAGAGAGAGCGAGGGATCGGGATCGAGAAGGGAGTGAGTGCGGGAGGCAAGCAGGAGCGAGTGCGGGAGACGAGCAGGAGCGAGCGGTGATTTCGTTCGCTGCCGAGGAAGGAGATGAGCGTGAGGGAAATTCGCTGCCGAGAAAGGAGACGAGCGGGAGCGGAGGATTTCGTTCAAATTGGAAGCAGCCAGCCGAGGCTCTCGTGAGCGAGAAAGAAATAGGCCCGCTAGAGAAAGAGCCGTTACGGGACAACATTGGCGGGGAAATTAATGATTTCCTTTCCTGCAAACGATTTAATTGGAAAATAATAACATTCAAATATTTTCAATCAATACGAGTTTTAAATAATCCGCCTGAATTTTGAAATTTGAAATTCAAAATCCGTGAACAGTTGTCTAGCCCAAATCGGGCACCAGTCGGACCTGGGTTGAGCCCGACCCGCGCACCTAAAAAATGCATCGATTTCCGTGTAGTTCGCGCGAGTGTGGAACCACAGCAATATGGGTGTCTTTTCTAGCTAAAATCGACGTTCCGGACGCATCGGCGCGGTCGGGGTGGTCCGGACGAGTTTGCCGGCGGGCGAGTCAATTTAAGCCAAAATTGTGTGGAGTGCGATGCGTGCGCGGGGTGCGACGTTATCGAGCGTTCGAGTTATAGAGGGTTCACTTATGGCCATTTGATCCTATGGGAACTTATTTTCGGGCCCTCTACATGCTGGTCCTTAGCCCTTGCAACTAAAAGTTGAGTGCTTGGAACCACTCATGCGAGTTCTTCACAAAAATGAGTAAAGAAGCGGTTTGAAGTTTTAAGGGAGGTGGGCTCCATTACTAGTCTGCTAGGATGGTCAACAAGGAACTCCTAAGGCTAGATTATGGGTTCTGGGAGTAGGAGACTAAGACCTCACTAAAATGAGATCAACACCTTGATAGACCAAGATCAATGTAGACGTGGCCCTCTCTTCCTCTGGCATGGCAAGAACTGGTGCTCTAATCTGGGAGGTAACGTCCTCATTGCTATAGGATGCAATTTTGAAAACTAAGATATTGCTAGAGTTGAACTCCAGGCTCCTTTCCATCCAAAAAATGACAATCATGAATGTATCGAAGGCAACAATTTCAACAACATCCGTCTTAGTGTGACTCGACGAATAAGAAGTTTTGGGAGGCCCACCCAAGATTTAGCCAGGAAATCTCCTTCATGGTCTCATTCAAGCAAGTAGCATCCCTTCACACTACTAAAGATTGCAACTGGGCTGCTCATTTTTGTGCTACTTTAGCTTTAAACAATAGCTTTGTTTTGAATCACGTAAAGGCTTATAGTGATCTTACTTCCATCCCTAGTGATGATAGGTCTTCTTTTGTACCGGCATAGTTTACCCTTTGCATTTTTTGTAACCCTTTTGTTTTGAATAATGCAAATTGCAATTATCAAGAAAAAGGTGTATTTCACTTCAAAAAAATAGTAATAGTGGTATCTCTGACTTTATATTAAAGATTTGACTGAAATATAAGCAAAAATGAAAGTTTAAGTGTTAGATATGTAAATAGAAAAGAATTTTGTGGTATGTATGTAAATGCCCCAATAATTTATTGCGCTCGCGCATGAAAGCTAGCAAATATGACAACGCTAGTCATCAAACTTCAAATAAAAGGCTGGCTAACGATTGTGTACTTGTGAGGAGTTTAGCAGCTTAATGGCATATAATTACAAAATGGCTACAAAATAATATTGAAAATTAAGAACAAGGAAAAGTGATGAGCCATGATACATACATACCTGATTCTCACCATACCATATTTCATCTGCAGCTCGGGGTGCTATCTGAACAGTGATGTGATCGAGGAGGGACTGCCGACTGCCAATATAAAGAGAAATTGATCATGGACAAATGTTTAAATGGTTGGAAAATCTACATTACGAATGAATATAAAGACATGTAATTACAAAAAAGCGATTAGATTATCTTCAAACAATATTTATTTCAGTTTACAAATAAAAAGCAAATGATGTAACAAGGCAAACGGCAAAACCTTCATTTTTTATTCATTATTGATAAAATTGAGCAAAATAAAAAAAGTAAATGTGAGAAACATACCTAAGCATTCCACTGCTAAACTTTATATGATCCATTTTTACTCGTACATAACCCAATTCTCTGCCAGCTCGAGGAGAAATTGTGACCTACTCAAAATATGAATAAGACACGTTAAGATATAATGGAGACCTTAATTTCAACTGTGTATGAAAGCAATGGATTGGTAACTGAAATTTACATTATTACCGATATACATATTCTTATGCATCTTAAGATTTATTGGCATGTTTCATGGAAGGCACCCAAGGTTCTATCATTTCAGACAAAATTACCAAAATGAACGTTCCAAGTAATTAAGCAAGAACAAAAATAAGCTTCTTGATCATTTATTATGTCAAACGCAATAGAATAAGCAAAGTAATATCTAGCATGCATATTATGTGCGCATGGATAAACTTTTGACAATCAAGCAATATAAATGCTGGCCGAAATAAAATTGATGCAAAACAAAGGAATAGAATCCTTGCAAGTTTTAATGTTAACTCAAATTGTGGAATAACAAGTAAATTAAAAATAAACTGCAATAAGAGTAAAAATCAGCAGACTTGGTTAAAATTCTAGAATTGGCAACTGATTATCAGCTCTAGAACTCATATCCATATTATCTGGTTACGAAATTTTCACCACAATGGAATTGAACCAAAAGATTGAATGTGGGCATATTAAATGGTGAAGGAAATACACAGAAAGATACCATTTGCCCGAAATTATTACTCATCATTCATACAAATTATCCAAAGGGAAACTAATGGAATCTCATGACAAGGTTTTGTATTATTTTGATCAGCCTTACATGACATTGGTCCATATTTATTATTTAAAGGTTAGCTCAAAATTATTTTTTCCCTTTTTCTTTTCATTAGCGGAGGAAACAAGTTCTTGCAGTAAGGGTATATTTTTAAAAGGTAATAGACTAGACTTGTGATCAAACCATCTCATCAATTTGTCCTTCAATATGATAATTCTAAGGTTACAAGAAATAAGCAACAGATACATATTAAGCCAATATATGAAGTCCAAGAGTCGTGAATGCATAACCAAAGAGGTAAATGTGAAATGAATTCAGGACTAACCAATAATTTTTAAAACATAGGACAATGCACAAGTTGGACAAAAACATGAGTTGGAAATATTATTTCAAATATATGTCTAGATTATAAAATCAAAATTTCAAATCAGTCACAATTATTAGACTTTTAGATTATATATGATAAAAAATAAGATCAAATAAAATTTTATCAAATTGTAAAGCAGATGTAGATGAGAGTAGTGAGGAGAATTGGGTAGAAAAAAAGATCTGGGAGAAAAGAAGAGACAAGAAAAGCAAGAGCCTACTGGAAAAGAGAGTGATTAGAATATATGTATGATTTAATTCATTCTATTCATTATAAGCTCCAAATCTACGCCGAAAAGACAATTAAATTTTAAAAGTCAAATTTAAACAAAAGTAAATCTGATCCTAATATGTCAAATTGAAATATTGAAATTATCTAAGATGAAAATTTTAATAGGAAAAAAAAATAAAATCCTAATAATTCAAAAATTATTTAAAATAAATATAAACATAATTACTAGGATGGCATCAATTCCATTGGGGTTGAGAATCTCTTCCTTCAAAGATTTGGAGTAAGTGAAATCATCACGTAACTTTATGAATTCATCAGATATAACCAAATCACCTTTGTAGAAAGTAAAATAATGAAAAAAAAAACTCTCAAGAATCTTATTACATTCTTTGTAAGAAATTGTGAAATGAAAAGGGAAAAATAATTAGGGGCCCGTAATCCTATAGGAAAGCACACATTACAGTCTGGGGGTCATACAGAAACAAATCCAATGGTACATAGCCTTAATCCGTGTACATTAAGTTCTTTTTTATAATTGGAATGGTAGAATTTCGACAACCTACTTTATAAAGAAGATGTTGCGGTCATGTTAATTTTGCAGGAGGATAATATTTTCTCTATTCTTCATGGTTGACAGTAGGACGATTTGGAAGAAGCAACTTATTCTTCCGCTTAATAATTTCTCATCATAACAAACGAGCGATTTTTCATAAAATAAAAACATTATTGAGTAAAAGTAATAGTTTAAGAAGTTTTATGGTTAATGTATTTCAAGGATTTTGTGATGCAACAACTAGATCAAGGCTTGCAAATGAAATGAGAAAAAACAAGCAAAAGAGTAGCAAAACTAAGCAAAAAATGATACAATCATGGTTGTTTGTGAACAGAGATGAATAAGAACATAAATAGAAACTAAAGTGTAGCAATAAATTGAATCGAGAGACAAGAAAGAGGAACCTGAGGAACAAGGAGATAAGAATATTCATGTTCCACTAGAAAAGAAAGATGTCAGAAATTATTATTGAGTCAACTCACTCAATAATGAGGCATTATATGCCCCAAATCCTCTATCTATAAATATAAGTTTTATTTTAAGCATAAAAGACAAATAAACAAATTAGATTCAAATCTAAACACATTTAAGGTCAGCCAAGGGAGGAGGAGGCGATGGTGACAGCAACTGCGGCAGAAACAGCCAACTACCTGAAGGAGGGGCGAATCGGGGACATAAGCAGCAACGTACGGCCAATGGAAGAGGGATAGCATTTGACAGATGCGATATATTTGGAATTTTTCTAAATCTAATGAATTAGAGATACAATGAAATTGAAATATAGAATGAATTTCAAATGCCTTCAAATTTTACACTACAATGAATTCATCTGACAAATCAACAAAATTTTCAAAAACTCATACATTTATTTTACAGTACACTTAATTCTGCAGGCCAAATAGCCCTTAAATTACATCTTGAAATGATAAAAATATAGTAGTTTTCTACAAAAATAAATAAATAAAATCTAAAATTCAACTAAAATCATAGTTAACTAGAAATTAACCAATAATATCTAGTGTTACATCATAAGCCCAAGTAATAGTACAAGTTGAGGTGCAACAATGTTCAACTAAATTCATAGTTAACTAAAAATTAACCAATAATTTCTAGTGTTACATGATAAGCCTAGGTGTTAGTACTAGTTGAGGTTAATGTGTCAACAATTTTAATGGGTTAGTACTAGTTGACGTGCAACAATTTTAATAAAGTACTTGAGAGTAAAAGGCTCTATTTGGCGCAGCTGCAGCTTCTCAGTTTTTCAGTTACAGCTGCGCTGCCTCAGGAAGCTGCTGTGGGGAAGCTGCTGCGGGAAAGCTGGTTGTGTTTGGAGCAGTTGTGTGAAAACAACTTTGGGGCAGCTGTTTCTGGCAAAATGACCATGTTGCCTCTGTTTGATAAAACTATTTAAAATAGAACTATAAGACCGGCATATTTGATACTTCTGAAGCTAAATTTCACTCCGAAGCTGTCGTCGGGATGTCCCAAAAATAAAACATACTTTACTTGAATTATGCACTAAAAATAAGAAATTAAAAGAAAAGAGATCCCCATTTAACTGATCAATACCTCATAAATATTTTTTTTTACTTCACTCAAGTTACAAGCATAAAAATTAGCAAACTACATGACACCATGAAATATATGTAATGAAGAAGAGCATTTTTATGGTAGAAAAAAAAAACAGAACAAAAGAGCTTTATCTACCAGTCCAATAGATCACATGGTTGATCACAGAGCTTAGGATTCTCAACATAGAGTTGGGAAAATAGTGCACTTCTGAACTTCTTATGCAATAGTTAAAATATTTAGTGGATAGCATCTTTCTTTAAAATTTTAAAGAATAAAAATAAGTGGGGGAGTTTTGGAAAATAATTTCTACTGGAACTGACTATGTAAACAGTAAGAATGAATTAAAACAAAAAATGACAATTTTAAATGCCTTGCTCAAATTTATTCTAAGGGCTGGTGACAAAGCAAGGGGAATACATTCACTTTTGTGCAATAAGAGTAAAGAAAGGATTTCCAGTCCCTTGCCACCAATTTCATCTCTCAAGAGTTCTTTCATGATTAATTCAACCATCCCACTTTAAAGTACCCTTCTATAATTTTTGTAACTATCTGCAACCCCAATCTTCTTTTCCCTCTTCCTTCAGCACTAAAAACGGAGAGCATGCATAGCGTAAAAAATATAAAACAAAAATCTCAATTTTGGACCCGCAGTCCAACAGAAAAGCTGATTTTTTCCATCCTTTTTAAAATGAAATTACAATATACCCTAACCCATACCGAAGAAAATGACGCAGCATCCATCGAAGAACTCATCTTCCAAAATGAGCAAGAGACATCAAAATACCACCGGCAAGGGGATAGATCCGAGAAGAATATGCTCGAGGAGGGGAAGAACCACAGCTCCCGTCCGCAAGGCCCTCGGGTAGGAGCTTCAGCCTTGATGAGGGCAGCGAAGGTGGCTCAATACGAGCGGGGCATAGGAGGTATCAAAGTGGAATTCCAAAGGCTTTCGAGTTCCAAAGGCTTTCGAGCAGGGCATAAGAGATATTACTGCTCGAGAATGCCGGGCCACAGGGTCGATCTCGCAGCCCGCGTTCAGCCTAGATTAGCAACAAGACGCGGACGCTGCAGTAAAGCGCGTGAAAAAGAATAAACTTCGCGGTTTGGGACCGCAATGCTCGAAAAACGAGGCCCCAAACGGAGACGTATCAAAGTTTCAATGTAGTGTTGAAATTTTTTCAAGAATTTATAATTAAAAAAATTCACATGGCACATCCAATATGATGACATGGAATGTTGGTGTGTTAGCTATCACAATGCAGAGAGGCTTTATAGGCAAGAATTAATGAATTTATCGTCATTAAAATATGCATTAGAATAAAAGTGCATTAATTAACTAGCATACAAACATGTTAATCAACAATTTATAAGTACGGGAATTTGAAGTTTAGATCAAGTTCAAAAGCTATGCAAGATAATTGATAACCTATACTATCATTTAATTGTTCTACTAGTATGAATAAATATGAATCAAGGCCAAGCTCATTCAAAAAGGCGTTGGAATTTCTTCTGTGAACGTACATTACATGTAAAGATAAGTGTATGTCGTACAAGCAGAAAGAGTTAAAAATATTAAAAAAAAGAGGAAGCAAGCCTTCAAACCACAATAATCATATTCATGCTAGTATAACATTCTTTTTGTAATTCAATGTGTTTAGTTGCGCCGCATTAGGAACCATTGAAGTTAAAAAAGCTTACTGGTCTGAACATGATTCAAATCAGTTAATGCAAGCCAATATCATCAATTTGAATATTTCTTCAATCACCCGCTAGCTTATGGGGTAAAACATAATTTAAAGATGACCCAAATGGCGATATGGAAATTCATGTTTCTGTTACTTCTGATTTTCCGATTGATCATCCAAATAAATGCAAGTGTTTTAGCAATGAAGGTTAAAAAGGACCGATTACTACATTTGAACTAGTAGATCTACTAAGAAAACTAAATTATGGATAAAGATAATATTAGTCAAAGAGTTGTGGAAAATACAAATTCAATATGTTTTAGATCAGGAAAATTCACTGCTACAACAGCCATAGCTGCTTCATTAAGAGCAAGTCGTTTCCACATCTCTTCACTTCTTTCTTTTTTATCAAGCATTCCTCTTTCTTCTATTTGTGCAGCTTGCAATAAATCATCCGTTGTTATCTGCATAAGCAGTGAACCAATATTAAATCACATTTTAAAAATTATTCTGGGCAATAAATTAGTCTACCAGTTTAGTCCTTGACCACCCATTGCATGAAAGACATCTAAGGCACTTCATGGAAAAATTAAAGAATAAAGCGAGCTATGTTTAATTTTATACTGCTCGGTGGAGACATGAGGGAATAAATACAAGCAAATCATATTGGAAGGAAAAAAAAAAACATTATGTAGCGAGTTCTTCCAAGAGAAAGTGCAAAATAAATTTATAATTCGCTAAATGTCAAACTTTAAGATGACATGTACCTTGAGACAAATATACATATTTTTAATAAAACTTAGTCTGTTTGTGAGAAATTAAAGAATGCTTAATGTGTACTAAGAAGTAACATGCCTAGAAATAATATAGATGTTACAAGTGTTAATGATGTGATACAACATGTGGATCAAGACAATGAAGTTAGAAGCAAATATACCGAGTGCTCAGGTTAAATCCACAGAAAGACGCATAAAAAAAGCCCAAAAAAGGTGCACTTTTAGAATTTCTAAATGTTTTTATTATGTTTGCAGTTTTATTTATCACCCATACACATGTATACAAAACTGGCCATGACATAAAATACGTATTAAAAATGAGTGGTTGGAACTTCTCATAAATTGCTATCATCACCTCCTTTTTGTTTATGTTTCCCTCTTTTTTTCTCTCCAAAGGTCTTCTAGTTTAAGAGACATAAAATACCAGTGAATATGGGTTGAAATAGTTGTAAATTCAAATTATTAAATAAAATAATCTGAGTGTGGAACCTTCTTTCTTTTGTTTTTTTTGTTTATTTATTTATTTTTATTTTTATTTTTTTTTCTTTTTGTGATTGAAGACTCAAGTTTTGCATATTCTTTAGAAAGCTAAGAATATTACAATTGGTTTATTTTGTATTTATTTTATTCTCATAAAATTCTTGATGCCATGATTTAGCAAACATCCAACAGAAAACAAATTGCCGCAAGGCTCCACAAGGGGTTGCACGTTTATGGGCTAGGGTTGCCGCCCAAAGAGAGGGGTCTCCCCCTCCTGGTTATCTACTATACATAAGGTATATTATGTCAATAGGGTTCAATTTTGAGTGAGTTTTCCGTCAAGATAGCCTCCGATGCCCCCTTCTTCCCTTCTAGGGTTGTACTCGAGGACGAGTATAGCTATGTTATGTCTTTGTTGACCTCACTTTTCGTTGAGGTCTAATCTTTCTTCCTTGGGAGCCTAGGATCTAACCAAAGAGCTTTCCTTTTGACTATTCCTAAAGGACTAGTGATGAAACTCTCACTAATAGAAATTCGAAACTCTTCTTTGCTCATCATGAAGTTCCACATGTTGGTTCTAACCTCTAGCACTTAGTAGGTAGAGTCAATATGGGGGAGCTCAAGAGGGGTTCCCCATGGAACTGTCTGACCTTAGGGTTGACCCTGAGTGATGTGACTTGGTCTAGTATACACATACTTGCATTTCACACTTCCATTTGCAATCATGAACCTTAAACTACACATGTCTAGGTTGGTTCCCTTCTCTCTTTGGAGACTCATGTGGGTGGTCCCCCGAACCCTTGTCTTTGACTAGATAGGACCAGCACATGGAGGATCCAAAGTAGGCTTTCTCTGGTCTTATGGCACCATAGGGGTAATTCTATGATCAGCATTTGCATCAAACCTCAACCTTATCTAAATTTCAAATTTTGGTCTTTTAGCCCTAAACTTCCCCAAAATTAATAAATTTCCCCTTGCACCCTAAAAAATTCAAGATTGACACAAATCCCTCAATTTTGTTCAAAAATCATCTCAATCCATTTCATACCATCCAAATTACTCAAAACACTCCAAAATTTTCATATTTACCAAAATACCCCCAAATTTGTAAAAATTGCCAAAATGCCCTTAGTGGCCCAAAATTTCCCAAAACCTCCAAAATCATTTCAATCATCCATCGGGTCCAGTTTGATCAAATTAACCCATTTTGACCAAAAATCCCAAATTGCTCCTAAGTGCTCAAAGTCCCCAAATTACCTTCAATTTCCACCATATTGACCCCAAGTTTCCCCAATTTCAAGTTTAAACTTAATTTCATCTTGTCCAAATCCAATTGAAACACAATTCAAGCCCAACCTCAAGCCTAAATTCTAAGCTCAAACCAATTGCCTCAAATTGACCCAAAGTCCAAAAATCCCAAAGTTGAACTTCATGATCAATCAAATGCCCCAATTTCAAATTCACATCAGATTCTAGCATGTCTAAATCCAATCTCAAATCAATTTCAATTCAATTTGAATAGCCAATGATCAATTTCAAAATTGAAGTCCATCATGCATTTTAAAAGCCCATCTTCAAATGCATATTAAAAGCCCATTTCATTAACTTGAAAAGGCCCAACTTGAGCCCACATGACAAAAATTTCATCTTCACCATCCTACTGTATCTAAATCGTTTCACCATAGCATCATACCTAATTCCCCCATGCATACATCTCTTTATCTAAATTAAGCATCATGGCTTGATTTTTCCAAAATTCATAAAAATCAAAATTTCCATTTGTATGAAACTTTTCCATGGCCTCACACACATTATGGCATAACTCAAAAAGCCTTCCATGGCCATTCCAAAGTCAATTTTGCCAAATTTGGCAAGTGGAGGTGACCACTCTTCCTTCTCCTCCCACTTGGATTTGCCCTTTTCATGAAACATTTAAATTCTTGACCAACCACCAAACCAGCCACTTGACTTCGCCCAAACTTACTTGAGGACCCTAAAGATCAGCCTTAAACATTTTGGGGCCATGATTAGTTAAGTGACTATGGGGTCAAACCCAAGCTAGCCCAAATTGCCCAAACTTCACCTTTCCATTGGATTTCCACCATAGAACCACGTTTAACCCAAATTGACTCCACCACTCAACCTCCCTGGCTCACCTGAACCTGAGGGTGACCTGACCCTGGCCAGCCACCACAGCCGCCGGAAAACACCACACCCAAAATGCCCAAATGATTAAAACCCAAAATTAAACTCACCTGAACTGTCTCATTGCTATTGGTCGCCACAGCTTTTCTTCCCTCCACCTAAGCTGCCCACCTGCTACCATGGCATGCCTAGATAGCGTCCATGGCCATGGCCAAGAGAGGATGATGATCAAAACCCTAACCAAACTCTGCAAATTCTCACCACTCCCTAACAGCCCAGAGAAGCTCAACCCAACCATTTTCAACCCCTCATCCCCACTGTCAAACCCTAATTTCACCATTGAAATTTAAGAGTTTTCACGGTCATACCGTCAAGTGCAACAAAACTCCAAATTGACTTTCCCAAAAGTTTCACCAAACCCAAATAAGACTTCCACAACCAAAACCCCATCATTTTGAGCACTCTAACCTAGCCCTAGACCAAGCCCGAATCACCCTCTGATCCAATTCTTACTTGTACTGAATCTCAGCTAAAATTGACACTTAGAGAAGGTTCGTCAGCTCACAACAAAGCTCAGGAACAAATCCAATTGAGGCTACACCTCTTGGGCCAAGGTATGGGTAGTTTTCCCCTAAACCGAGCTCAATTTGGTCAATTGTGAAGCTAACTTGTATTTCATACTTGATTAACCGTTTAGATAGGTTTGTCTTAAGTAGATGAAGCTTTAGAAACAAACCTCATATAATTTGGTTGAGAATCGAGGGAGAAAATAGTTTCAGAAAATGAGCGGCTCTCGATTTAGGGTCATTGGGGACGATGACCAGAAGTCGTCCGATCGCGCGTGTATCGGACGGACGGATTAGATTGCGTCGGACGAGGAAATGGAACGATAAAGGCGACACGTGATGGCTGAGGTGGAAAGTGCAGCGAATCAAGGAGCACCGCGTAGGACTTCGACGCGAACGAGAATTGCGTGGCGGCTGACTGGATTAAGTAGAAAATTAAAGGGTTTAATGATTTATTTAATTGACAGAACTTCAAAAGTTCATATTTTTGTATAGAAAATTCATAGAAATAAAACAAAAATACCATATTGCTCAGTGAACAGAGGAGAACAATAAGAAAAAAAAATTTAAAATTATTTTACTTATATTTTATTTTTAATTAATTAAATACCAAAAAACTTAATTAGATCATATGTCATTAAACATTAATCACCATTGTTTAGGCTTTTTGGGGTTTAAACTTCCTATCCTTGGTTGTGTTCTCTGATTTTTCCAAAGTCAGAGAACACGTCTCAGTGTGGAAGCCCTAATTTTTAAGATAAATCAATTCTGTTTAAATTTAAAAATTATAAAAATTAAAATATAAATTAGAAAAATATAAAACTAGTTTTAGTAGGTTCACTATGACCAGAGGATCCTAAGAAAAATATAAATTGTATTTAAATAATCAAATATATTATTTTATGTAATTAAATTCTAAAAATGAAATAATTATATAAAAAATAAAATAAAATTATAAAAATCATCCCACACTGTAAAAAAAGTTCATATTAACTCTATGTGAAAAATTTGAAATCATTTTGAATTAATTTACCCACTAAACTTGATTTTTTAAATTAAATATGATTTTTGTATTAGAATAATTATATAAATTAAATTAAAGTCTCGAAAATTATAAAAAGTGATTTTCTGAGTCATTGTGATCAGAGGCATCTATGAAAAATAAAATTGAAGTTAAAATAAATATTTAATTTTTAAGGTATATTTTAAATTTTAAATAATTAAAAATAATTAAAAATGATAAAAATCACTAAAATTGAAAAGTACCCCAAAGTGTCATAATTAGTTCCCTGATCACTTAGGAAGAATTAAAATATTTCTCCTAATTTTCTAAATAAAATTATAAAATTTTAAAGGTTTAAAATTAATTTTCCATAGTTTTGCACTAAAATAATTACAATAAATAAAATATAAATCATAAAAATATGAAATTTGTTTCTTTGGGTTCCCTGAATCCGAGAAATTTAAAAAAAAAAAAAAGTTAACTTTCAACTTAAA